TTTGGATTTTCTTGGTCTATTAGTTGTCTCTTCTTCTGCATCAAAGAATGAAACGTCTTCAGAGTCATCATTGCTGTCCGTCAAGGTTATTGTGGTAACAGCTACCTGAAAGCAAGGCTCTGCCAGTGTCTCCCATCCTGCAGGATCTCAGGGCACGCATCCCTACAGGGCAGGCCACAAGGGAGCTGAAGAGGTGCCCGGAGGCCGCTCCCCTATCACCTCCTCGCGTGCACCACGGTCGGAGGGAAAAAAGCCCAATTTCTTAATGACAATCTTTGTGCTTTCTCTGGGGTTCCAAAATTGAAAATGAAAGCTTGATTCCAAGTCATCCTGATTGGGGCAGTGCTGAAGCCCAGCATTTAGCCAGTCTTGAAACAATGGAACTGTAAGTTCTGCAGAGGACTTCCAAGAAGAAAGAAGACTCCCCCCTCTCCCCCCATTTGGCCATGGCCTTTTGGGCAAAAGGTAGCCAAGGATAAGGAGCTTTGCATTCTGGCTTCTAGGTTCGTGTTGTTAAGGGTGTTACTATTCTCTGTCTCAGAACCATTTTCTTAAAAGCAGTTACATATTTTGAAGTGTCTATTTTGTTAATTTTGAAAACTAAAATAAAGGAGCAATTTATCTAAACATAACATCTGTTTTCGTTTTTTTTTTTTTTGGTTAATAAATCAGTTTCTAACATTTGATGCAAAATACGATTTCTAGAGTGCGTGTTTCCTATTGAACTTTGCCTCCTTTTGCTTGCAGATTATTTTGCGTGCTTTTATCTGCTGCAAGATGTATGCCTTGCATCTCTCCTGTAATGAGTTATTCCTTTATTAGCAATAAAAAGATGTAATTCTTATAACTAAATGTATTCCACGTACCTTATTTTATAACATTTAATTAGAAATAATACTGAGTACTCATTAGTAATCCAAGCACACGTCACTGGTACTCATTATAAGTATATATGAGAATAAATATAGTAAACGTGGAATTGTGGCAAATTAACAGATAAAAATTTAGTGATGAGGTCACAAGTACATCAAGAGAAACAAGCGCACACAGGAAAAAAAGACAATTCCTTCTATTCAAAGGTGATGCTCTAAAGGTTAAATTCATTCTTCTAGGAATTTAAAACAAAGGAGAAAATCGGGTATCGATCATATCTGAATAGACTCATCAGGATCCAAATTTTGCGGTGAGTTTCATCAGGGTGCCCGCGCGGATGACGTGGAAATGGTATTTTATCAACTATCATATTAGGCGCCTCCCAGGCGCGGGCCAGTGGCGCAATGGATAACGCGTCTGACTACGGATCAGAAGATTCTAGGTTCGACTCCTGGCTGGCTCGGGCTCCCCTTTTCTTCCGGCCGAAAGCTCAACTCAAAACTTGCTCAAGTTTTACGGATGCAGAAGCGAGTTCTGCAAGAGGTCAGATGGCACTTACTGTAAAGTGCCCTTCTGTTTGTCTAGTGCCAATTTTGCCTTACGGTTTTAGCAGTCGCCTAACTCGGAACGAGGCGGGTGACAGGAAAAGAACACCCTGACCTCAGACTTCGTTCTTGAACTTCTTCCAGCTACCGACCGATGGGGGAAAGGGTCGTGGGAAGACCTGCAGTTTTCCTTGGAGGGTGCTTTAAGGAGAAGCGAACAAAACCTAAGAAGGCGTCTACCAGCCTTCGCCCCAACCTCCTGCGGGGCAAGACCCGCGGTCCCACCGCCACAGAAGGGCGCCTCCTTGGGGAGCGTCGGTCCCGAGGAGCCGCGGGGCAGAGCCGCGAATCCGGGCCTCCGCCTTCGCCCGGACTCGCTTCCCTGCGCAGCGCCGGGAGCTGGACCTGGAAGGAGCAGGACCCGGGAGCCGCGCGGCCCCCAAAGAACAGGAGTTCCGCGGAGCAGGACGCGGGAGGGGCACGGTCCCCAGGAGCAGAACGGTCCCCAGGAGCAGAACCCCGAGAAGCGAGATTCTGTCTATTAAAGAGAGCCCCGGGTCTTCCAGCCGGCCGGAGACCTTGCTGTCTGTAACTTGAGACCCCGGCTCACGGTCGGCCGGTTAGCTCAGTTGGTTAGAGCGTGGTGCTAATAACGCCAAGGTCGCGGGTTCGATCCCCGTACGGGCCAAGTTTTGCCTGGCTTTCCTCGTCCAGGTCGACCCCGCTCATCCCGCGGTACCTGTGCTCTGTCCTCCCGGAGCTGTACAACTTGGGGCGTGGCGGTGATCTCTTTCCCAAATGAGTCCTGAATCCAACCTCCTTTCCCAAGTTTTCAAGAGGTACGATGGAAGGAGAATCCCTCCCTAGAAGTTTGTTTTCTGAAGGCCTTTTCAGGTTTAACGCACACTGAGGTGGCTCTTCGGGGGGTAGGTATTCCTTTGAACGAGGAACGGTCCCTTTTTTGCGCGGGTGGGTGGGGGGGCGCGGATAAACTAGACAGGAGTCAAATACGGACCCTCCTCCCAGTCTGCGCTTGTGGCTCAAGCGGTAGCGAGCTCGGCTGGTGTGCGCCGGGCCCCGGGTTCGAGCCCTCGCGCCCCATAAAAGTAGACTAAGAAGCTCTGAGCATCTCCTGGGCTGCAGCTCTGCTTCCGCCTTGGAAGAACAACCCAAGTTGGGTTACCCCTGAGCTTTCCTTTTGGGTCGGTCCATCGGTTTTCCCCGGACTGCGCTGGCACTTCTCTAGAGTTATCTGGACAAAGCTGCTATTTATACAAAAACACAAAATCGAAATCATTCAGCTGATGGAAATTCCTCCCAAGACGAAAAAGTAAAAGAAAAGTGTAACACGACTCTAAACGGAATGAAATATTCATGAACAAGCACGTGTCGATATGAAAACCAAGCACGTCGACAACCTCAACCAGAAGTCAAACAGAAACGAACAAAAATGAGGTGAGATGAAGTAAGTTTTGAGTTTAGTTTAAAAAAAAATCACATCAGAAATGGAGGTTCCAATACACTCAAGGGAGACCTCATTAAAACGTTTGATAATAAGAAAGAAAGAGAAAGGTCCGTTTTTACTTCTTTACCACCTTCTCATTCCCCAGAGGGGGCAAAGATATAAAAATCAGCCATAGAAAAGTGACTGAAGTAAAGGGTCGGTAAAGAGATCCAATACATACATGATTGCATTCCCTGAAAGAATCAGCAGAGTACAAATAGCAATGAAAACCATGATCCAGGAAAAGTTTGTGAACAGAAGCCAAGCGTTGGGCTTTCAAAGAACAAAATTAAAAATTAGACACAGCATTAAACATAGAAATAAAAGTATGAGCCAAGAAATATATAACTAGCCAAACTAATATATGAGAAGCAAGATTATTAGAAAAAAAGTTTTAAATATGCAAATACAGGATTCTCAAGCCACTCTTGCAGAGTTCCTCACATCCTCCTCCTCCTCACACACCTTCCCTCCTTCAATGATGCAACAGATGATAGCAAGAATTTATACAAATATGCTTGTGTAAAGAAAACCACAAACATCTATGGGTACAGTTTACTTCTGAAGTTGAAAATTATTTAGGATGGGCAAGGGGTGAGGAGGAGACTTTTCACACTCTTTTATTTTTATTGTTCTTTAATTTTGAAATGCATATTTCTTTCCTCTAAATTAAACTTTAATCAAATGTTTAAAAAAAAAGAAATTTTACTTTTGAAATTAGTCTTCATCTCTTGGCTTCTTTCCTACTGTGTGGATGTTCATGAAAATTGTTCACACCTGACATTTTAAGACTCTGGTGTTCTCCTTCACTGAACTGGCAAATACCCAGGTGCAGAAGTGTAGGAACTGCAGATGGTTTTCATTTCTTGTCAGAAACCATCAAAATAGGTTCACTTTCCGGGCATGAATGTTTCCCAAAGGCAAAAGGTATCGCCCGGGGGCCTTCAGCTTTCCCTGGCTGGGTGCTCTGTACCTTTGCTCTGGAGACACTGGCAGCAGGGCCCAGACCACAGGGAGGTGGCCGCCTAGACGTCTGTTAGGTGACTTCTGCTTCTGTTGCTCTGCAACAGAGACCTGGGAGTGGACCTGAGGTCAGAGTGGTGTCTTATTTGTGTAGAAAAGAATAAAATGGCCTTCAGCTTGAGCGGAAGAGCACACGTGGTGTCATGAACACCCTGCTCCAGCCAAATGCAATAACCAAACACAGCAGGTGGCACGTCCCTTCAGTTTTAAAGGTCACTGTTTTAAGTGCTTTTTTTCTAAAATAAAATAGGAAGTTGTTTGACTCTATCTTAACCCGATTCTCCCTCCCTCCCTTCCTTCCTTCCTTCCTTCCTTCCATCTCTTGCAGGTTACTTTTAAATTAACAAAATCGTGCACTGACCATTCCATCAAGAGCGCTATCTGGATGATGGTGCTCTGGACGGGTGGTGGTGATCTATTCCGTTGTTGGAGACACAGAAGAAGAAAGTCCAAACAGGAGACGACAGGTGTTAAGTACTAGCAAAAAAACCCCTATATTGCCCCACATGGACCTCAAACCAGCAACCCAGGCACTATTACCACCACAGTGTAACCTAGTGAGCTAGCTGGTCAGCACATTAACTCTTCTACAAGGAATATATGACCATAAACCGCACCGAGGGATCTCGCTTCTTCAAAAATTTCTCTGGGAGAAAAAAAAAATCACAATCTGGAAACACTTTGGACAGGCCTGAGTTCCTTCTGAGTTCCACCTCCCCACTGCAGACAGTGAAAACGAAATAGAAAAGATCAACTTGTGCCCAAAGCAGCCCTCCCTCTCCCAGGTAAAGTCAGTCTCTTTCAAACTAAGAAATACAGGTCAATGTCCCCAAATGAGGCTTCACCTGAGGAGGCCTGCAAACCTGCAAACCCGAAATGCCCGAAGCCCTCCGCTGTGTTCTGCGCCAGACTTTGGCAGGCTGCTCCTTAGGGCAACTTGCTGAGGCTGGCCCTGAATTTGTAATCCTCCTGTCTCAGCCTCTGGGATTACAGGCGTGTGCCATCTAGGTGGATGTAAATTTTTGATGGAGGATTCTTGATCTGGACACCCCCACACAGGCATACACTCCCCACCACAATCCTAGTACTAAAACAAATACTTTGTGTGTAAATTGAGACCCCTGGGTTTATGTATGAGCGTTATTGACTTTGCTTCTGTGAGATGCTCAATCACCTTTTGGGAACCTGCTCTCACCTGCAATCCTCACAATGAAAATATAACTTGTGCATTATTTTTGAGTGTCTGCTTTGTGCTAGCTACTATTTTAGAAACTGAGGATATAGAATTATAAGTGAACAAAATTCTCTCTTTATGAAGCCTACCATTGCACAGAAAATGAAATAATCATGCAAATTACATAATAAAGTAAATGATGAAAAACAGTGTAGAGAAAAAGTTGGAAATGGGAAGGGGTGTTGGGAGTGCAGGAGTTTGGGTCTTCAGCAAGTTCTCTTCCTCCAGCAATAAAAGACTTGAATTGCTGTTCAATATTACGGCAGAACACTCCTCCCAAACCGCAGAGCAGAAAGAGCTGCATCTCTCTTGACATTTAACATGCAAAACACCAACATGCACAATGAGAAAGATCATCCACTATATTTGCATGTTCTTTCCTGTACCAAACACTGTGGTCTGGGAGTGAGGGTGTTTACAGACAATTATATGCAGAACAGGTACAGAATCCCAGTCCCTGGGGATCTTCTAAACAAGAGGCCTTCTTCTGTCCAGTGAATGAGTATGTCCAGGAGGAAGTGGCCAGGTGGGAGCTGTGGGGTGCAAGGCTCAGACCCCTCTCTGAAGCTGGCTCTGCTTTGCTTGCCTGAGCCAGGTCTGCAGTTGCTGGGATATGCTCTGTGGAGAGGCAGGAAGAGCTCTGAAGGCCAGACCCCAGCTCTAGTAGAAAGAAGGGACATGGGATAAGCATGCCAGTGAGAGCTCGTGGTATCCAGCGCCTTTTTCTCACCTGGCGTCCTAAGCGGAGGCTGGGAGAGTCTGAGGGTCTCTCGGGTGCCATGTCCAAGCAGTGGGAGGCACTAGGGATGAGAAGGGCTGGCTCTGAGGGTCCCAAGGTCTGTGTTACACTTAGCACATGCCACGGGTCTGTGTCCCCTGGGAAGAAAGGAGAGGGTGGAGTGTTGAGCTGGCACTGGGGGAAGCTTACGAGCCAGGTTCTAATGCCAGGCTCACCATTCACGAACAGCACTTGGGTGGCACCGGGGCTCTGGCCACCGTAGTAGGCGTTTGTCTGGGCCACGGCCTGGGCTACAGAGGAAGCGGAGAGTCCAAACACTTGCTCACATAGCTCCAACTGGGAGGGCAGGGCTGGGAGCTGGGAGAAAGGACATCCAGGACCCTTGCAGGTGACGTCTGTGAAGGGAGATACCTGAGTGTGAGAAACAGACAGAGCCAGCCCCCCGCTCTCCACCATCACTTAGAGGGTTCTCCTCAGCGAGCTTGCAGTGTTTTCAGAGACTGCACACCCTATGGTGACAACCCAGAGGGACAGGGCTATGATGATGAGAACCGCTCAGGAGGTGGGGGTGCCAGAGGAAGCATAACGGGCTCAAGGACATCCTGTAACGCATAAGGCCTTATGGAATTCGAGTGAGCCAGAGAACAGAAAGCACTGCCAACAGCGGAGACAGAACGTGCAAAGATCTGCAGGTGAGAGGTCTCTGAAGCGACCAATGCTCAGATTGGATCATGTCTCCTCTGCTTGAAACCCAGAGCTCACTGTGCTTCAGGGCAAATCTAACTTCTGTAACCCCCAAACCAACTCATTCCTCCTTTGCCATATATTGAGCACCTACCATGTGCCCAGAAGTTGGACTATTGGGCACATAGTGGCAAACAAACAGGTTTGGATCCTGCTGTTGCAGGACTTAATGGCAAGAAGAAATGCCTGGAGGACAACTGGACCATTTAAAGAGGACACAGAGCTACCAAAGTGGGCATGGGAAGGCTAGCGTATCTTGAGGGAGGACGGAAGGCTTCCTGAGGGGGCATCTTGTGTGCAGACTCGAGGAGGAGGAAACTGTGAGAAGCAGGAAATGTGCAGCACCAGCAGCGTGAACAACACCTGCAAGTCTTCTGAAGTTAGAAAGATGGGCATGTTGAGGATCGAAACATCAAATGCCTCCTAACAACAGGAGCAAACACTTGCAGAATACTTACTGTCTTATCACCAGCTAGCCGGGCTGGCGACCTGGGCTGGGTTCACAAGAGCTGGCTGCACCAATAACTTAAGAAAATGGCTAAAGAAGCATGAGACACACAGAAATACCTTTTGCTTGCAGGAATCAGGGACGGCTCTCCATCTTAAGGGTCCATTGGAAAGAGAGAGAGAGCATGCCTGAGACCCTTTTTATTGACAAAGACACTCAGGAAAGTTCCACCCAGATGAGACAAGGGATTGCGTTTCAGGGGGGTGTAGCCCAGTCTCACTGGGTGACACCCACTCCCAGAGCTTCATTCCCTTGCCTAGCAGAGGTGAGATCCACCTGTTTCTATCATCAGAAACCAGTGTCACACCTGCATGGCTCAAGGCTAGGGGTCCATGCTCACTCCTATGTGGCAGCTCCCGACACGGTACACCAGCATTATTCTTAGCATATTATGTACATTATCTCCTTTGATCCTTGAAACAACCCTATGAGAGAATACCCTTATTATTTTCATTTTAGGGCTGTAGAAACTAAGGCATAGACAGGCAAGTCACTTGCCTATATTTTCCCAAGAACACATAAGTAGGAAGTGGAATTGGAATTTGAATATTTTACTTTAAACCACTATCCTCACTACCTTGCAAAGACACACTGAGGATTTTGAACTGAAATCTGGGTTAGAAGGGCCAGATTTAACAATACAGAATATCAAGTTAAATTTGAATTTCAATAAACAAAAACTCCACTTTTTAGAATGCCACATTTGGGACACACATACGAAATTTTTTTGTTTATCTGAAATTCAAATTTAACTGGGTAACCTATATTTTGTCTGGCAACTCCACCTGAGGTCACTAAGAAGCCAGGGGAAGGTTTTGAGCAGAGGAGCAACAAGGACCTTCCTGGATGCAGTGTGGTGGGTGGTACAGGTGAGATGAAAAATCTGGAAACCTGGGTCAGGCAGGGCTGGTCAGGGGTCTAGGCAGGAGAGGATGGTCCTCTTCAGGACAGCAGAGGGGAAGAGAGAGCAGAGGGACCAGAAGGGGTCCAAGAGTGGTGGTACTCGTGACTAACAGGTCATCTGAATACTGCCCTCAGGATTCCGGTCTGGTGGCTGGGGAGAGTGGAGAGGAGCACAGGAAGAGCAGGTGGAAGGCCTGAGTGTGAGCATGAAGAGGCCTGTGAGGTCCAAGCTCACCCACACCAGGACGGCTGCCTACCCTCTGCAGCCCAGCATACAAGGTCAGGCTCGCCGTCTTACGGAAATCAAAATCAGCCGCGTCACCTGGGTGATGGCCACTGGCAGGCACAGCATGTATATTTGGGTCAGTGGTCATGCCTGTCACTCACAGAAGCCGAACTCCGTGCAAGTCTGGTACAACCACTGCCGGTCACCCAGGCCAGACCCTTGGGGCTCAGAGGCTCTCAGCTGGGTCACTGTCTCTGCTCGAGAGAGGCTCACACACCTCTGGCCCAGGCTGTGCATGACAATCTAGGAAACAGTAGGAACACACACATAAATCCCTTCCCCCCCCC